TGACTTATTTTCTAACAGAAAATGCTAGGCTCTTTTTCCTTCCCCCCCCCCCACCTGCAAATTTTTATCTTTTAAATTACTGTTCACCTTGTGCAATTGTCATGAAAATTGACATGCAGACTAATTACAAACATATTTTGTATTCATAACTAACTTTGTAAAACCACTCGTTAGACCATAAAATTCATGTTGATCGGAGGTGGGGGGAAAAGGAAAAAGAGCCAAATGCTATTAATAAAAAAGCAGAGAATTGAATAAAATAACCTCGAATTCAGCAGAAGCAAAATTTAACTAACACAAGATATTGCAATTTTTGTTCCGACTTTCGTAACGAAAGTAACGGAATATTTGTGATCGGGTGGGGTTTTTTCTTCACACAAATTTCGTCTTTTTATCTAGCCCTTTTTGACACATTTTTAAAATATCATTCAAAAAGTATTGTTACCTGAGCTTAAATTTGAAAAAAATTTCACCTGTGATTATTTTTGCTGAGGTTATGGGCGTATAAAGATTGCCATTTTGTCCAATTTGAGACAATTAACGGGTGATATAATTCGCGCTATTAACACGTAAGCGGAAATTTAATCTGTCTTAGAAACCGCTCCAAATTGGTTCAAGGAAGCTTATATGCCTAATTAATTTGTTAATAGGAGCAAAATCTATCACTTTGTATTTAATATGGCCTGTTGGGGGATGTGTTCACAAAAATTCTCAATTTTTTTTTTTCAATTTTAATTTAATTTTTTTACACTTAATATTTTCTTATTATTACTGCTCCACATACCCTAAAAGGCAGTCGGAAGATTCAGGGCTTCGCCCTGATGCGAGCCGTCTTGTTTCATTTCCAAACTCAAGGAAACAATAGACTAATAATGGGTTTGATTTTCAAATATCCAGTAGAACACAGAAATTTGAAAGCAAATATCACCTATTTTGAGTCAACCAATTTTTTTGGCCAAATGTAAAGATAGCAAGGACAGCCGGTTAATGTGCAAGTAGCACAGAATCACAGATTGTTCTAAACCTAGTATTGTAAACACACATTTTTTCAAATTAATTCTGTTTTTGAATAAATTAGAATAAGACTGAATGCCGTTCTTGAATTGAACAAGAAAACAAAAAAATCATAAATCAATCCAAAAAAATACTGAAAAAGTTTTTGATTCCCAAAATGGCGCTAAGAACCCCAAAAACTAACTTTATTTGAGCAAAACTAAAATTTCATATCTGAAATAAGCACCAATAAGCTATTGTTAGCCTGCTCGCTCGCTTCATTCGCTCGAATTTAGATAAAAATCAAACAATTTAAACCTTATTTTATCGTTAGTGAGACAATTTTTGAGATTTCAATGTCACTCATTCCGATGAAATTTTATCGCACCTCAATTTGAGTAAAAAAAAAACAAAAAGAAAAAAGAAATAAAAAGTAAAACACACCTGAATATAAAGTTCCTCCCCATTTTCAATGGTCGGAAAATTGTCCCCGTGCAAGTTTTCCAATAGGATGCCTAAAAATGATAATTATGAAGTATTAAATATTACTTCAAGCCAGAAAACTATATGCCAAAATAAGACTGCTGGTATCAGAGCAAAACGTTTTCATTTATCTTGAAATTATTTGTCGAAAATCAAAAAGTTATTGCTCAGACTTCCAAGAAAAAAGCGGAAAGTATATCAAGATAATTTTGACGATTAAAATATTAGTTTTTGAACAATTTTGACCCTGCAAAAAATTTAATTTTCGAACAAAATATTTTTTTATTCTTTGGTAAAAATTTCAACTCAAGGAGTTAAAAAAAATTACTTGCAACCAAGTTTTTTAATAGTTCTGTAGGTTTGAAAATTGCCAGTTTCGACATGCTCTGAACTTATATATGCTCCTTTCGGGGATTCAGTTTATGTCAATGAAACGTAATGGTTATTTTTGTGTGTGGCGAACTATCCCACATTGGAAATTGTTCCAAATTGAAAAGAAGCAAATTAACTGAGCGACATATTATGATTCAAATTTTTCATTTAATCCAGTCAAAAACTAAATTTTCTCAACTCAAGCGAAAAAAAAACGACTCAATTAGAGAAAAAAAAACCATAACTCTTAAAGTTCTTTTTTTGAATGTGGTCGGAACTTTCTAATCTATTTGCAGAGCAACCGGATGTTTTTTTCCAGTTTGGCATTCACAAAAGTATTCACGCTAATCAAAAAACACAAGCAAACAAAGCCAGCAAAATGAAGCGTAATCATTTAAATTTTGCATTTTGGTCTTTGCTTAATTACTCGAGAAAAAATTATTGCAGGCGTGTTTCATTTTTAAATGAATAGATGATCTAAACGTTAGCAAAACTTTTTCTAAAACTGAGCAGAAAAACAACATCGAGCTGTTTCTTTCCTTTTTTCTCGTTTTCCCTGCTAAAAAGGATTTTAGATAATTTAAGCAAGTTTGCAAAAACGTTTTGAGTTTTTTTTCGAATCATATTTGTCAAATAACAGTTTTTATTTACACTTTTGGGTCGTTTTTAAAAATTTTAATTTTCGGAACCCTATAGATGGAGATAATGAGCAACGAATAATTTTACTTGAGTTCTGTTTTCGTAAAATTATAGAATTGATAATTGCTAATGTGACTTATTTATGCGTGCTTAAATCCATTTACGTAGGAAGCACAATCTCAAGTAATTTGAACACTGCGAATCAATCAGTAGAAGCAACCTAATTTTTCCGTTTAATATCCCGATAGATAAAAACTATAAACTGTATTTAATATTGGGGCAGAAAAAATATCAAAAAATATAAATTTCAAAAAATTATATAAAAAAGTTCGTCATATTTTTTTTATGAAAAAACTTGAAGCAAGGTTAAAGTCAGTTCGAAAATATTTGCTTTACCCTGCTCAGTCTAAGCCAATTTTTTTCATTGTAATTCTACAAAATTCCCGTGAAGTTGTAAAAATAGCCCAATTGAAACTAGATCTTGTTCAGATAAAAAAAAATTGTTTATCTGAAAAAGTCTAGTCGAGACTGTTGTTTTAATAGTGTTATCGAGAGGGTTGGCGTTTGTACCATTAAATGTACTTTAAAACACCAAAAGTTTTAATTATGTCATTATCAAAAGAACATAGAAATTACATATAAAACTGAAAAAATATATATAGTTTTGTTTAACAAACCAGTGAAGGAAAATAATGGCGAATAAACATAAACAATGTGGAGTTACAAATGGTTTTATAATCAATTGAAAATTTTCTAACACAGGAAGTTGATTTTTGCCTTAAACTATGACAAGTTATTGACTCATTGGAATTGGGTAAACTTTGAAACGTCATGAAAACGGACTTTAAACATTTCTAAAATTCTATTTTAATTATTAACTTTCACCGTAACGACTTTTTGCTGGTGGTAACTTTGGAGACACTTCTTTTTTCGTGCTCTCTCAGGTCAATAAAACTAGAAAAAGTTGACTTTGAAAGAAAATATCGGCTTTGAAAATTGAAATTGGCGTAAATCGAATTATAATAAGCTTGCTAGCAGAGGTATATTCAATGCCTGCGATTTTCCACTCTGAATAACTGCTCTTGTTATTATCCTCAAGAGCATTTAAGCGTGATCCAATTACGAGGAAAATGGAATAAAGGTTGTATTCTGATTTCAACTTACTGAAGCTAGATTTAAGGATACCTTCTTACCATGCTAACTATAAAACTATTTGGTCCACTGTTTAGACATTGACCCAGTTTTGTTCAGAGCTATTTCCGTGTTAACACCATAAGTATATGTTGTTTTCCTGCCTTGTCTGCAGATAGCCGGAACTACACGGAAATCATAGCCGACTGACAAAAATGACGACAAATACGAAGCAAAAAACAGAAGAAAAATTGGGATGAAAATTCCGTGGAATTGCGATTTTATGCTCAAGTTTTCAATCTTGCGTCTAGGATACTCGAATATCCATAAAATTTGTGAGGATCATAATTTCCGCTCCTCATTAGGCGATGTTTGCGATTAGAAAGTCGTACCATAAAACTATGACATGACATAGAAGCTGGGTTCTGTCTTGAAGCTGTTAAAGTATTCTAGTTTTAACTTTAGGCTTACCGAGCTATCGGACGAAGAAAGTATCCAAATGTTCGCGGAATTGAGAAGCTTTTCTCATAGTTTAGTCTGACGAATCATCGACGCGGAAAAACGTTTGTTGATCATCAGTTTGTAAAATTCAAATTCATTCACGCACCGTTTAAAACCAACCGGGCCTACAAAAATAACTGGAAACAACTGAGATTATAGAGGTGGACGCACTATATTGTTATTAGACAAACTCAATGGAAATAATAATCAGTTTATGCCCAAAGTAGAACTCGTCTAACCTATGGGCTGTCTGTCGGTGCTATAAAAACCAACTGTTGTATATTTAAACGACCCTAAAATTTGATTTAACTGTCATAAAATCGTGATTAAATTCTTGCTTCACAAAATGATGGAATAAACAGAGTAGTTTTTTTAAATGAGCACATTGTGAAAATAAACACATGAAATTAAATGAATAGATAAACCATTTTCATTTTCTTAAAAATATTTTTTTATTAGAACTCAAGTCGTTGACCATTCTACAGAAATTGTTCGAACCTAGAGTTTCTTTCACATTAAATTTCAATTCTCTATATTATTTTCTTGATAAATTGTTTGAGCTTATAACCTGTAATCAGAGTAAACATTGAAACGTTTCTCAAAAAAATTGACAGCTGCAGTTTTGCTAAATAAAATCTGAGATGGGAAAACTATGTCGAGAAAATTAATTAGACAGGATAAGCTAGAAGTAATAAAAGAGCACAGGATCTGACTGGGCCACTTTTTTTTTAAATAAATTTTCAAAAGTGGCTTTTTGAATTTTTTTTTTGATATTTGATAAAATCAGAGAAAACAAAAGCTTTACCCTGACACGAGTACTTTTGCTGTATGAGGATCTGTCTGTCTAACTGGAGTGGAACTAAACATTTGACGTGGTTTGATTCTAATAGATAACGAAAATTTAATCATAATAAATTGTTTCCAAACGATATCTTTTACAGAGTTATTTGTGAAAATTTACAAAGAAAAATTGGAATCGTATTGGAAATTCACCATTAAGCCAGCAAGATCCGTTTTTAGGTGTCTCATTAAGCGGAGAACGAGAAAAGAAGTTAAGCAACTTCTTTGATCCAATAGAACATTCTACTGAAAAGCATTTAAAAAACGTAAGCCCCTTCATACCCTCCTTTCAGCCCTTCTAAAATATTTTTTTTTGGTTTCTTGGGAAAAATCTCTTACTCATAATCTAGAAACCAAAAGAATTGACTTCTAAATATTCAGCAGAACAAAATTTCAAAGCACGCACTATAAATTCGAATTTCCTAGAATATAATTATCCAAAAACTTATGATTAAAGCTATTCGATTGAAGCAGAGAAGCCTTTTTTAAAAATCTGACCAATGTGAGAAACAAGTTGAAGACAGTATTAAACATTTTTTTATCGACCATCTGTTGAGTTTATTTCATTTTATAGCTAATTTTTAATTTGATTTTTTTTTTGATAATATCGTATTTAACTCTTGTTCAGTGGATCAATTTGTCAAAAAGCATATCTCAGCGGATCAACTTGTCAATCTGGTCGAATTTTTTTCCCTCTTAATTCAAAATTTTGTATGCATAACATTTTTTTAAGATGCATTTTTTATAATCATGCTTTAATTGCTTTCAGGATAACAACTTTCTCAATTGAGAAAACATGATTTTTCAATTAATCAGTGTGCAGATGAAATTTAATTTTGTTGTCCAGGTGAATTCCAAGAAATTCACATCTTCTATTTGGGTGCGATTTAAAAATAAATTGACAAGTCCTTTTTTCATCTTTTTGAGTCGGACAGTGGCCCATGTTGTTGTTTTTTTTTGTCATTTAGTGTCAATTTATTTTTTTTGACCAGTCATTTACTTCCACCGAAATTGATTGACGTGCGAGAGCATATCATGCTTCTTTGTTTGTGGAATTCCGATTGGTGTTGCATACTAAAGTACACCTGTGTTATTCGTGATTAAACGAAGATCCTTCAAGTATAGTGTGAAAAAAACTGGGCACAGAATGGATCGCTGAGTTACTCGAAGAAGTACTAGTTGAAGTCTGGTCCTAAAGAAGTTTTTGTCTATGTAGTAATAGCGAGCGCCAAGTTGGGATTCCAAAAGTCTTAGCACAGGCCCTGTGAACCCCATTAGCTCCAATTTTTTTAAAATCAAATTAGAGGAATCAACCGTATCAGTCTTTTAAAATGTATTTGATCAGTTAGATTTTTGTTCATTGGTGACGTTGAAATCTAATTGTGTATGCATGATGCCACCAGTTTTCCTTTAATCTGAAACCAAACTGTGTGTTTCGTTTAAACAAAATTTGTCTTCAGATGATCGGGCTCGTCTGAAAATTAATCGCTCAAAAAGCTTTCCCAGAACTGGTAGAAGCCAAATTGATCCTTTGATTGAACCATCATTAATTTTTCTTTCCTTGAAAATTGGTTCCTTGTTTGCAATTCTTGAACAATTTAAAATTTTTGCAGACTTATCCAGACTTTTAATTATTTTTTTTGCAATTTTTGCAATTTTGATGGGTAAAATCATGAGGTTCGGCAGTCATTAATCTTTTCTGTTAGAGACTGCTAGTACAATTCTTAGTTGTTTGACGAGAACAGTATTGATATCACAGCAACCTGTATTAGGTTTGTTTTCGAGAATTTCGATGACTTCTGTGACTTCAATTTAATCAATTTTTTTCTTAAACATTGATTGCTGCTGACGGATTGCATTATTTTCCATGCAAGTTGGTTTGCTTTGCGCAATTTTGGCGCCAAAATTTGCAAAGCATTTGCTAAAATGCTCAGCGTCCTCCTCAGACAGATTAAGTGACTTGGAATTTTTTTCCTGCTGTCATTTCATTTAAAACTTAAAAAATTGTTCTAGAATTAGACTCAAGCTTTAATTTATTTTCTTTTTGAGTAGATAATATTGAATTTAACCCACTTGCTCTATAAATATTGCCGTTATTAAGGCAACTCCTGTGGCGTGTAGAGAAATAATGATCCCAAAGGATATTTTTGCAAGATAATTCAAAAAACTTTTTCAATGTTGAGAAAATTGGATCAGAACAGTTCCTGTTTTTACAAAAGTTGAATCAAAAGATGAAAACAGTCCCCATATATCTCGCCTATGAACTGTTGAACTTCTACTTCAACGATACCTGAAAAGTTATTTAATCTAATAATCGAAACAAAATTTTATTATAATCATATGTGGTCTATAATTCGACTAGAAAAAGCATTGAAAAATATTAAGAATTTTTGTATTGTATTTGAAACATTTTTTTTGCTAGTAGTTATTCATTTCTTTCTGCAATAATAATCGTAGACGGAACAATCTATTCTAGCCGCAGTGTCTACTGTTGTTTTAATTAATAGAAAAGGAGCTTAATTTCTTTCTCTTGAAACAGTCGACAAAATGTCTGCTTCGAATTTTTTTGTTTTAAATTGCAGAGAAATGTCAAAAATGTTACGTGAAAAGTGAAAAGGGCGAAATCTACTTACTTAGATTTTGCAGGAAGCTCCGGTACGCTAAAATCGGGTAAACAATGTTACTTAAGTAATGAACTTAGCGTACTTCAATCCCAAATCGCAAATGGGACTCAAAATAAGCGGCTTTGACAGAAATTGGGGCGAAGCTGGTGTTTGTTGCGGTTGGTGCTGTATAACTACATGTATAAAAGGACTATCAGGTACAAAGGCGGTATCTAAACCCACCGAAGCTCAATTTACCAATCTTATAAACTAGCCGAAAGTTATCAGTGTTTCGTAAAAATTATATAACTTTGACTACAACGTAAAGTAAAATGTTTTAAACTGCGAAGAAAATTCCTCATTTTTGACATTCTGTCTGATTTAGCTCATTTTCGGCCTACTTGACATTCGGCTTGCTTTCCACATTCTACCAATTCTGTTACCGTTAGCATACTTTCAGAATTATCCCCAATTGGTGACTTAGTTGTACCTTTTGTAGGTCTGAAAGAAGATATTTTCAAAGGCAATCCCAAGTAATTTTTTTCAATCAGATCAAATGGCCAAAGTTGCAGCTATTTTTAAAATAAAAAACAGCAATGGTTTTAAAGGTTGCATCGTGAAAGACATGGCATGTTAAAATTTGTTCACAAATAAGAAGGTAAATCGTGTTTTATTGACATCATTTTCCAGCAAACGGCAAAAATTCTACTATTTTGCTTTTCGGCTTTCAAGTTTGTCTATTTCTAAAAAAAATTGGTTGGATTATTGATTTTTTCTATCTTCTTCTCTGTTTGGCTGCCGGCTTTTGTTTGCTTTGATTTTCTTTTAACAGACTGAATTGCATCATTGATTGCGAAATCGAAATTTCCGAAATAATTGAAGGCTTGCAATTTCAAAGAATATTTTTAAAAATACTATTTGCCCAATTTCAGGATTATTTTTTCAAAATTGCTCAAAAAGATTTTCTCGTGGGTGGTGGGTGGCTGTATTTCAAAACAAAACAAATACGAAATTTTTCGACTTTTTTTTAAGTTGCCCGAATTGGTTTTTCAAGATATCCCAAAACACTACA